GTTTGGTGGTAAAATTCCCTGGATTGCAATCTCTATTTTCTATAGAAGAATCATCTGTAGAGAAGTCATCTCTTCTGTAGAGACCACAGACTTACTGCAGAAGATTTTGGGTCCAGCATGCAAGTTGATGGCCACACATTAAACCCGGTGTTTACCGCAGAACTGACTAAATGTAATCTGAGTATGGAGAACATTGTCTTTACTCATTTTCATATGATTTTCCAGCTAAGAAATACATTATCCACTCAACTAATCTCTACATGGTTGGTAAACCAGTTAAAATAGATTACCCCAAATATTAATGAATTCTCTGAGGATGCGTGGGTAATTTCCAAGCATTCTTGCAATCAGCTATGTGATGTCCCTTGCCAATCTCAGGAATATGGATGAGTGTTGGATGAGATTGCCCTTAAGCAGCTTCTCCTTCCTCACAGAGGGTTACTTGATTTACTGGGGAGCTGTAGGAGGTGAAGACACACCTAGAGCAACAATTAAAACAATGAAGACAATATGTGATTGATGATAGTTGGTTCCCACATTGAGGAATATATTACATCATTAAGACTGATGAATTGGATTTATTTCTTCACTCTTATTGTGATTGCAGTGGCTATGTCCAAGATTATCCTTTCCCTTTTAGGGAGAATTGGAGGGAGGACTTTCAGCAATCTCTTGTGATTTGTTTAGTTGTTTTGTAGGTAAAATTGCTTGCATTCACCAGGAACAAAACTCCACTGGATATTCCAGTGAGATACTTTGAGAGCTACATATCTTCCCTTGTATCTGGGTTTCTTTGGCCTGATTGCCATTCTTCTTTTTTTTAGGCAAGTGTTTAGTGAAGTTGGTGAAGCATCAGTTACAAATTGTCCTAGAAGAATCAGGCATGAATATGGTTTGGAAACGGTGCTGGTCACCCCAGTGGATTACCTCTGTTGAGACATGGATGGAGAGAGAGTATGTCTTGTTAAACTTCTCAATGACCACAACCAAATACCACTGGTTATGGTATATTTCTGACTGCCTATAACAATTAAGGTTTGAAGCACTGCTTGGTAATCAGCCCATTTTTCCCTAAGTGAGTGGTTCCAGTCAGCATGTAAAGACAAAGAATGATAAGTGTATGTGGTTGCTCCAATTTTGGTTAGTGCACTAATTGCAGGCCTTTTTAGACTGGGAAACTTGATAACTGATTCATGCCCTAATCAACTTTTGTATTGTTACTTTGTGTAATATATATGGGGCCCGCCTTAAAAAACTTAATAAGCTTCAGCTGATCCAAGATGCACCAGCCTATCTGCTAATTGAAGTTAGCCATGTATTACAGCCATGTAATACACCTATGTATTACAGTTACAGCATTGATTGCTAGTTGGCATCCTTCCTCATAGCTTCCTCCTGCGGGCCAGATGCGTCATGTGCTGGTCATGCCCATGCCCAGTTTAGCAAAGAGGAAAAAAGTCCCGATACTTCCTGTGACGCTGCCGTGACGTGAGTTTGACACCCCTGTTGTTGAGGATTTTTTTTCTTCCACAGAGCATTTGTGTGCCATTGATGTCAGGGTTGCCAAATTAGTTAGCTATCATAATGTGGTATTTTTAAATGTATTGCTTATTCTGTTGGATTTTAACAACTGTGAGTCTATGAACTAGATGGTATTTGTGTAAACAAATAAAACCATTATATTAATATTGTCCGACACTGAATTTCTGTTAAGACTTAGGCACTGCTGATCCAATTCTTTCTATTCTTGGTTTTGGATATTTTTTCCATTGCATGTGCTACTTGTTTGTAATTTCTGCACATATTTTCAATAATAATCAAGCATAAGAACTCTCAAACCAACTTCAATTTCTTTTCTTTTCTTTCTTCATTGTTAAGGTGTCTTTCAGATCATTGTCTTGCTGAAATATCCAGCTTCTCTTCGGCTTGCTTCCTCACTGATTGTGGGAATTTGTAAATAACTGTACATAAATAATGTGTAATTTCAGATTTGCAGAAAGTTGTATTTCATTTTGTAGAAGTTATAGAAGTTGTGTCAACTTCAATAAATATACAATTTGACAGGGGACCTAGCAGTTTATGTACAATTGTAGATGTCGTAGCACTGAAACAAAACTATGTCATGTTTCAAAGTGAGACTATACAAACTGCCCTCATTTACAAATCCTTTGCTAATAAATAGCTAACATTCAAGCACTGAGATAGGCTAAGAGCCAAGTGTGCAAGTACATGCATGCCTCAGAAATATATGCAAGAGAGCAGGGTCTTGCCTGAGAGCCAGATGACTAGAAAATTTAATCCAGAGTAAAAAACTTAACATGGGTTCAGAAACATCTAATCTACAACAGTCCAAGAGTCAAATGCCAGGGAGGTTACTGAGCTAGTTAAGGTCAAGGAGCTGAGATTCAAGAGGCAGATCTAGATCCAATGACATAGAAAATCAGAAAAATCTGGTGATTGTTCTTCATTGACCCAGATGTAAGTGTGACTCATTTATGGACATTTATGACTTTGCTTCTAAAGGAGTTGCATTGCTTAGCTTTCCAAAGCATCCAATAATCTTGGCATATTATCTGCCAAAATTAGTTTCAGTTGACTGTTTGGCAACTCCAGTGGCTGACAACTTTTTGAATCAGGCCCCTCGGTGTAGGGCTCCTTTGAGATTCTATAAAACTGGAGTAATGATGGCACTGGGCCATTTTGTTTCTCCATTGATCCTTAGATCAAAAGGGGCTTCAATGGGATTGACAGCGTTGGATTTTGGAAAATCCAGGCCATTTAGGAATCTACTAAATTTGATGCTTGAGCAGACCATCTTGGTGTCCGACACACTGATAAGGGGGAATGATGCCTTGAAATGCAATTTCTTGCATGATGGCCTGAATATGATAGCAGGGAATTGTAACTCCCCTAATAGCCCTCTTCACCCAGAACAAAAACTAAAGTGAAGATATACCCTATTAACTAAATGACAATTTGGAATAAAGTCATGGCCATGAAATTCTGAGTTGACCATATTAGAAGAACCTTATTATGAATGCTCTTTGAGGCCTTCAGATGTGCTGAAAAAACGACAATCCTCAGTTGTATGGTTTGGAATAGGAGCATAATAACTTTGGCTGCTTTCTGGTTATATGTGTGATGTAAAGAAAAACAAATTCAAAAGTAGTATATCAAGGAACAGAGTTAAATCCTGGTATTTGTAGTAGAATCTTCACAATATTCCTTATGCCCAAGGGTTGACCTATTAAACAACATTCCTACCACTTCAAAAAAAAATGATATTTGTGATTATCTATTACGTACTTTTGATGAGAGAAAACTTTATCACTGATCATAGTTAGATGAAACAATAGAAAATAGAATTTTGAAGATAATATTATTTAACCACAAAGAATGAAGCATTAGTCTCTTCTCTGTTACATCCGTCCTAAGACTGGTGTCATTAGGCCTTCTATCTGTATGTACTGATATGTTCTTTAAAGCTAGTTGCTATTTGTGATTCAGTACTGTTTTTAGAAAAACTAAATATATATCATATATGGTGCCTTATATCATTTTACAGTAATCCCAACAAGTATGTGTATTTGTAGTTCATTATATATTCACATCTGCCCTTCTATTGCAATTTAGACATTTGAATCCACTTACAAATCATAGTTAAACATTATTGTTTTGCCATACCTACTTTTGGGGAGATTCTGCAATACTTAAATTTATAATATTTAAAATCAATGACATTAATTAATGATATTCTAGGCCAGTGCTTTTCAAATGAATTGTTCAAATGGGAAGCCTGCAGATAATTGTAAATACATACAATAATAAATAATCTTGTGGTACATTACTATTGTTGCTATTCAGGCAACAGTTCTTCTGCTTCTCAAACAAGTTGAGATCTTCACTGATTAATATTTTTCTAAGATTGATCTTGATTGAACAGTTACAGTGCTGGCCTTCATAGCAATGCTGCAGTGAGAATCATGATTTCTTGGATCGTTCTAGAAATTTGCAAAATTACAAAAACTTATTGGGCAAGTTGTATTGCATTATTCAACAAAAACGCTTGAGTTGTTTGATGTTTGACTCACTGCAGCTGAATAGTCAACGTCCTTTGTGAGGAGATGGGTGCTAATATCATCTGCTATTCAAAATTTTCAGGCTTGAGAAGAGAAATTTTTGGTTGAAAGGATATTAAACTTGCAGGATTGTTTGATAATAATTAAACGAATCTTAAAATGCTATGCAAGGCAGGCGTATTTGGGCTTTTAAGTGTTGAATTGTAAGATGTATTAATTTGATCTTTCCACTGTGTAACTAGAGTATAGTTCAAAAATATTAGCTTTGTGGAAGACGATCCACCAACCTTGGATCAAATTTATAGTTATTGAGGGAACATTTTATATAATTATTGTTTTGCAGATAAAAAGATTTTCACCATTTGTGATTTTATGAATTATGGTTGCCGTTTAGGATTTTATGTAATTGAGCTTCACAGAATCTTTGGGATGACATACAGATGTAACAAATTAATAAAGACAAATTTAGGAGGCCAAAAATGGGACGCACAAAGGCCAAAAATGGGGCACACGGAGGCCAAAAATGGTCAAAAGGTGGGGGCTGGTGGGTGGGCGGGGTTTTAGCAATATTCATTCCATGAGATGCACAAACATTTCCACCCTCTTTTGGGAGACAAAAAAGCATGTCTTGTGGAACAAACGGTAATAATTTTTATATTGCAGCCTGTTTCATGTCATCTGATTTAGTTATTGTTTGTCATCTGTAGATATTTATAACTGATTGTTTTTATGGTTTGCTTGCTGCAGCCACCTGCTGTGGCCTATATTGAAGAAGGATATCAAGTTGTAATTTTTCAGTATATTTGTCTTCAGCCTTCTTCTTAAGGTGTATACATAAATAAGTTCATAAAATTATTTGTGAGAAACAATTGATAAATTTAATAAATTATAATTATTTCTTCTCCACATATCTCTCTACAGGATGCTATTTAAAGAAAGCCGAAGTGTTCATAATCATCTCACATCTGCTCCGTGAGTATAACATCAATATATATATGTTTTCTGTTCATCTAAAATTCTTTAATCATGTTTGTCTTAGAATTTCATAATAATTTATGTTTATTACAGTTGTTTTTATTGTTTGGTTGTTATTGGTAATAGAAATTCAAAATTCTAATGTATTATGGCTTATTCTTGACATTCTAAAAACATGAATTTTGCAAACAGGTAATATGCAATATATTTTATTAAATTTATGAAATTATGCTTTAATATGAAAACAGATTCTGGAGCAAGTAGTTAGCTAATAATTTAATATTAAACATATAATATTGCTACTCAGTTGTCAGAAATTAATATTTATTTTTTTACATTTTAAAAATAATAAATACCCACTTGTCAGAGGATTTCCAAACATTACATGATACTATATTTCAAACAATTGCTTTTAGATCTTTGTGCATATTCTTACTCCCAGTTATACTTGTGGAGGGTGTGTGTGTGCTGCTGTAGAGCTGTTTTATATGAAAAACAGACATATAAAGTTTCTAGTGTTTTGCTCTTTTCATGCTGTAATTACTCAGAATCCAGCAAGTAATCTTTCTGTGAAAGACTTAGCTTACCTGTTTGGATATTCCCAATGATATCATCAAAACTATGGAATGAGCTTTTAGGGAAAGGCCATTAATCTCCAGTGCATGTACTGTTTCACCTGAAGATTATTTTGCCTTGTTTTCAGAAGCATTTGCAATTATTCTGGAAATGATTCTGGGTATAATGCTTGTTCAAAGTGGCACCACTTCTGCAAGAGTCACCTGCTAAAAATCCTGAATTTAAATAAGCAATAAAATTAACTAGCAATAAAATTATAGCAGTAAATTTTCAATTGGAACTAGTGGTTGAATAAAAATTGCAGATATTCTCATAATTAGCTTTGTGCTGTCCTCTTTAGGGCAAAGAAGAAGGTGATTCTGGCACCTAAACCCAAAGGAAAGGTAATTAATTACTTATAAATGAAGATATTCTAAATAAAGAAGCATGAAGTATTTTATTGTAGCTGCTTTGCTTGATTGCTGTGGGGCACCCAAGTCATTGGTAGTTGGGTAGTATACAAGAATAATAAATTATTATGGTTATTTGCACAGTCAGCCAGATGTTCAGGTAGGATTTGGCATTTTTGTTTACCTATTGAGTCCTTTCCAAGGATCTAGGATGGCTATACAATAATCAACTCTACCAGAATATTTATAGCTTTATGATTTTCTATGAGCTGACAAGTGCATGGTGGCTTTATTTTACAAAATAAAAAATAAATTATTATCCATTCACAACAATATGAAGTCATATCTTCCAGTTCTTTTGCTGGTGTTGGCCTTCATGCCTCAAGTTCTTCTCAATATAAATTATATTGAACTAATCTACACTTAGATTTTCAGTGTAAGATTATGAAAGCTTAATAATTCAAGTCCTAACCTAAACATTATTAAGGTAGCATCTAAGAATATAGGCAGTTCCAATAAAAGTTATTTTTTTGTAAAATTAGAATATTGAGATTAATAAATGCTATATTTCCAGAGTCCTTTAAGTATTTCTCCAAGGGCTCCAGTCACAATATAACAACAGATTTCTTTTTCCCTAGGCGTTCAGATACAATCTGCAATCTTTTTGCAGTATTGAATATTTTGCAATCCGTCTTTCAGTAACTTTTATATAGGGATGTCTGTTTGGATTTTAACACTCAAGAAATTAACTCACTCATTTTCCAGAACTTTCTCAAGTTGATGGTCAAGTTGATGGTCGAAGTCCAAACCTCTGGCAAAGCTTCTAATAAATAATTCTGGCAACTCAGTCAGGATACCGCTTATCATTTTGTAAAATTTTGCTACAACTATAATCAAATGGTCAATTATTTCATCTTTTTACTACAAGGCAATATTTGCCATTGTTTGTTACATTATAGTTTTTGTTATCTTGCAATTAATTGCCAAAGCATGTTTTTGAGCCACTAAAATGAAGCCTTTGGTTTCTTTCTTTAACACTGCTGTACTTAGCCAACCCATGTTGGTTTTGATCACCATTTCCTTCTATATTCTTTAAGTATTAGCCATGCTTTGGCTTGTACTTCCAATTAACAAATTGGTTTTCAATTGTTTCTTTTCTATATTCAGCATTCACCATTGTTTTTTTCAAGAAGCTTTCCTTGATTGACTGACTACCTTCAGAAAGAGTTCTTAGGAGCATGGTGGCTCACATGGTTAGGACAGTGGGATGGAGGTTAGCGAGCCCGTCTTCAAGACCTGAGCGCAACCATGAGGCAGGGTTGAGCTTCTGTCCTTCGCTCCAGCTCCTGCATGAAAGGACATGAAAGGAGCCCTCAACTGGGCATCTCCCAGGCAACAGTGATGTTACTGGGTAAACCTTTCAACCAGGAAGTGCCTCAGTGCTTCTGACACAAGTGCAAACAAGCGGGGTTCTTGGTTTTTCTTAATGTAGTCATTCAGGTCATGCTTTTCTTCCTCTGCAATTTGTTTTACTTTTAATGTCCTCTATCGCTTTCATCTCTTGGCAAACACAAGCTGATTAATATCACTTTTTGGGAATAAAGTATGATGCATTGTCATTAATTTTCTTGTCTTCCAAGCCAAGTTATCCAGTTCCACCTGAGTCCACTCATCTATTTCTGCTGGATATTGACGAGACTACCCGGATATTGTTTTTAATGATGTTTCCATCATTTAATTTTGATTTCAAAATTTTCCAAACTCATTTGATAGGAATATTTTTCTTTTGATTTGATTCTGTAATAAATTTGGAAGCTTCCAAAATTTGCCATTATATGTAGCCTTCTATGCTACTGCCTTTTTAAAATCTTCATTGTTAAACCGTATCTTCAACAGTTTTTCATGCCTTTATGTCTATGGTTACACGTTTATTGATTCCAAATCGCAGTTAGCCAGATATTTAAAATGGATTTGGCATTTTTTCTACCTATCAAGTTTTTCCAAAGGACCTGGGTAAGCAAGTGTTGTTTGATGATGCTAAAGATACTGTCTCAGGATGCAAACTGCTCTGCAATTTATTGATGGTGATTTTGTCAGTGCCAATAGTGTTCAACTGGTGTCCAGATGTTTGGGGATTTTGTTATTTTCTCCAGTTCTTTCTCTTCTGTTGTCTCCAGGTACTTCAATTTCCATTTTTCTGACTTTTTTGTCTTTCCTGTCAACAGTTGTTAAGTGGCAAGTGCTTGTCTGTTAGAATTTTAAATTTTAGAAGCACAGTTTAGCTTCTTCCTTTGACTGTTTTTGTGGTACCACAAGTTGTTGCTTGCAGACAAATGATATTTCTTGCAGATATTCCAGTGTACCATTGTCACTACTTTGTCATACCATTGTCTGTGTGATCTTCTTACAGCTGGTAACTAAGTGGTCTTACTCTTTCTTCAACTTCTTTGCAAAGGTGGTACTTGTTGTCTGTTGCTACCTTCTGCCTCTGTATTCAAATTTTTAAAGCCTTGCTTAATAATTAGCCCCTCAGTCTCTCTCTTCAACATTTCTGCTCTTACCACTGCCAGGTCTTGTTGTTATCTCTTTTGCCTGCTTTTTTATGTACCGGCCATGTAATATTTTGCCTTGCCTATCTTTTTTAATCTTCATATGGTCTTTCTTGTAGACCAATTTGGTCTCTCCAGTACTCAGTAAGCCTTCATGCTGTATTAACTATACTGCACATTCTTCACTGTCCTTTATATATCCTTCCAATGCTCTTTTTTCTTCTTCAACTGTCTGGTATTTTTACAAGATTCCATGCCCACCTATGTTCTTTGGTAAGCAGAGACTATCTACACTAATGTGTGGACAACTCATGCATGAATCATGTCATTATTTTTCTGGGCTACCTATCCAGAGTTTTTAGTTCTACTTGTGTTCAGTCCATTATTCTAGCTGTATGTATCCAATGACTGAAACTGCCTAGATGCTAGTTGGCTACTGCAACTTTTGTTACAGAATTTGAAGCAGTGAACACAATTGCAATTAGTATTCAAAAATAAGTGATTATGGTTGTTCTGTTTAAACTGGATAGAATACTATAATAAAGCTTTACAGATGAAGCAAATTAGGAAAAATCTATACTCAAACAATGTGGACAAAATGATGTCATGAACATTCTGGAAAAAAGTGCTGTTATTTTAATTGGAGTGATAATTTAAGATCTAGAATCTAAACCCATATGATTATAGCAGGTTTGTGTTTTCAAAAGAGGTGCCTAAAAACCCAAACTTGCTACCACCATATCGATTTGTACAATGTAAGGTAAACAGAGAAGGACACGAATTAAAAAGTCAAAGAGACATATAGTAGATTCTAAGCCATTTCCCCATTGCCAATTTTCCTCTGGTGCAGGCATTTCTATTCCAATTATGTTATTTTTTTGCAAAATTCTTCTCAGTTCATGAAGAAAACATTTTAGAGGATGAATTGTGGGGTTAAGATTGAACAGAGGCTTTGGAATTGGGATGGATAATCTATAGCCCTCCAAATGTTGCTGAACTATTATTACCAATACTCTTCACCATTGGCCATAGTGGCTAGGGTTATTGGGTAATATAGTTTAGCAACATGTGGCAAGTGGTAGGTTTTTCTATTTTGGTTCTCAACTGCACCATTTTAAATTTTACTCCCCTAGATTTAGAATATTAGGTATACCTAAGGTAAAATGTCATTTTGCTACTTCCATGCCATTTGGTGTTTAATTTTATCTGTTGCTATTTTACTGTAATGGATATTCCATGTAAATAATATGAAAACTGCATATGTATAATATTAAAAAATGTGAATCATTATTATCATTGAAATAAAATCAGCTCATACTGATCAAGCCATATACTTGCTTTAACTTATTTTTAAGATTTGCTTTTTGCCTAAGAAAGATTTTTTTACTTTGGAATAAGGCATATCCAACCTATCTCAGATTTTAAGATCTGAGAAAGATTTTAAAATATAATATGCTGTTTTCTTTTTCTTTCTTTTCTCCATAGAATCTTTTGCTTTATAAAGAGCTGTTTCCGATAAAGGATAATATTTGTAGCTGACAGTAGAAATAAGGACTCCTTGGTGCTCTTTGAACTTGGTTGTTTTCTTGTAGATGTTTCATTACACAAACTAGGTAACATCATCAGTGCTAGTAGAATTCAAAAATAAATTCTTTTTTCTCACTTTCTTTTTACACTAGGACTCTAGTCCAAAGAAGGAGCAGAGAGTATGTCCCCCTTTTGCTTCAGCTTGTGTTCCTGCTTCAAGTACTAGCATACCTATCAATGCTGTAACCAGTTGTATTCCAGCTCCAGAGACAATTTGCCTAGATGACTCACTGGATGAAGATTTGTCATTTAATCCTCCTTCACTGGATTCTGTTTCTGATGCTCTGGCTGCTATTAACAATGGGGTGAAGAGTTCTTCTGTTGTGTCCCCTGTAGACACATCTGTTTCAAGACCTCGGGCAGGGCTAAGAGAAGAGAAGTTAGCAAGCATAATGAGCAAATTACCGCTGTCATCCTCCAAAAAAATAGAGGCTGTTCAAACACAACATTCATCAAGTCTTATAGCTGGACATATAGGACCAGTACCAAAGAAATCCCAGGATTTGCTTCAGACTGGTATCTCTTCAGGCCTTATTGCTGGATCTACAATTCAAAATCCCAAGGTTTCCTTGGAACCATTGCCAGCCAAGCTTCTGCAGCAAGGGTTACAGCGGTCAAGTCAAATACAAGCTGCTTCTTCCCAGACCCATATTTCTTCCTCGTGTAAAGGGCAAGCTACAGTTTCTCCTACTTCACAAAGGCCAAAAGATACAGTTATGCTTGTAACCTCTTCAGAGGTCCAAAGCTGTGGCTCCTCAACAATGCAAGTAGCAAAAGTTCATCAGCAGCCCACTGCTCAACAAAAATATGTGTCTCCTCTGCAAGTTACTATTAGTAAATCTCAAACCAATCCTGTGGTAAAATTAAGCAGCAATCCCAAACTTTCCTGTTCTTCCCCAGTAACCAAGACTTCAGATAAATCAGTAGTATACCGCCTTCCTTTGTCTAGTGCCACCTCTGGGAGTTCTCAAATGGTTCACCCACTTGTGTCTCGGACAACATCCTGTACCTCTACCTCTAGTAATTATTTGGCCAAGGCCATGGTATCACATGTTTCTGCCCAGGGTTTCAAGCCTCCTTTCTCCATGGTTGCCTCTCCTAAACCAGCTGTCTCTCCCAAACCCTCAGCACCCAAGCCTTCTATAACATCCAAATCTACTGCATCTCTTAAACTACCCTCATCTAAGTCCAACTCTACAACCAAGCCCACATCATCATCTAGTTCTTCCAGTCCAAGTACGCTAATATCCCAGAACAGTCACTCCAACAACAATTCCCTTCATAAACAGTCCAGTGGAGTAAGTGTCAACCGACAATCTTCCACAATTAATTTACTTTCCTCTAACCGAACCTCAGGCTTTCAACCAGCAAAGAATCCTCAAGCCCCTTCTAAATTATCCAGTTCCTCCGCCTCTGGAACTGCTGGCAAAAATAACATGAGTGGAGTTGGATTGAATGTACCTATTAATAGTGGAAGCCGCTTAAATGCAAGTGGGGCTAGTAGGACTAATCCCTCTGGAGCAGCAGGAAGTGGAGCACAGGGTGCTAATAAACAGTTATCAACTCCACATAGACCATCTTCTGCCTCAGGGTCTACAGTTATACCAGCCAGTGTACAGGTATGTACTGAATCTGAAACTGAGCTTAAGATATAAAATATTGTACATATGGACTATTAAATTGTGAACTGTAGTAATGAATGCAAATGTGTGTGGATTTAGAAAGAAGTCCACTCTGTAATAGGATTTTACTTCAAGGAAAATATTGGAAATATTGAACCCTGTTTTGATGCAGTTACACATTTAAGCTATAGTTTGTTAAACAAGTTACAGTGACCAGGTTCATACATAACAGTGGCCTATAATGAGTGAGTTTGTATATAACATTAAGGCAAAAAAAATTTAAAAACCACTAAGGATTACTCATAAATACAAAGCAGGGTTATGTTTACCAATAGGAGTTCCTATAACTACTAGAAGATGGAATTTATTATAAATCAACTTTATATTTTATGATAATTGCCTAAGATTTAATACATAAAGACAAAAATTGCTAGGATATTTGTATCTTAAGACTTTTTTACTGTGACTGTTATAAACACTATGCAGAGTAAATTACTAGAAAAGCAAAAAAAAAAATCCAATAATTTAGATGGATGAATTACTTTATTTGCAGAATAATCCTAACCCTTTGAAAATTAGAGTTGCTTGAGAAAAGTTGTTTGGTTGGTAAATCTATCACTTTTTTGTGATGCTTAAACTGAGCTTTTCTTTTCTTTTTTCTTTTTTCTTTCTTTTTTCTTTTTTCTCTTTTCTTTTTCTTTTTCTTTTTCTTTTCTTTTTTCTCTTCTCTTCTCTTCTCTTCTCTTCTCTTCTCTTCTCTTCTCTTCTCTTCTCTTCTCTTCTCTTCTCTTCTCTT